GTCACGTGGGCGGAGCCAAAAAAGTCCCCCAATGAGCAGCTCCGTGTTCTGAAAGGGCAGGGAAACAGCCCAATGAGCATCACCGCAGAGGAGCCAATCAGCTAGATGTTGCTGGGGCCGCTGTGAGCCAATCATCAGCCGGCAGCTGGAAGTTTGCTGGCAGCTGGAAGTTTGCTGGGGCCCCTTCGGCTGTGGCTCTCAACACAATACATAATTGTTTATTAATTTTATTTTTATGTGGCACTAAGGATTGAACCCAGTGCCTCATACGTGTGAGGCAAGCGCTCTACCACTGAGCCTGAGCCCCAGCCCCAGCCCCCAGTACATAATCATTGAGTAAATGTTGCATGAAAAGGTGCAAACGGTGGGCTCGGTGGTGATTACCTGTAATCCTAGTGACTTGAGAATTAGAAGCAGGAGGATTGTAAGTTTAAGGACAGCCTGGCCAACTTAGCAAGACACTGCCTCAAAAAAAAAAATGAATTAAAAAGCAGGTGGGCTGTGGATGTAGTTCTGTGGCAGAGCATCCCTTGTTTAATCCACAGTAATGCAAAAATTAAAAAAAAAAATATGACAGTCCCAAAGAAAATGGCTTGTTTGATCAGCAGGTAGCTGGCTGTAGGGGGATGAAGAGAGAAGAAAACTGATAAAAAGTGTGGGCTTGCTAATAAGGAAGTGCCTTGGTTACTGATTCAAGAAACAACATGGTTTATAGAAGATGAAAGAGGAAGATAGCCAGATGTACTGGCAGAGTTTGGAAAAAGAGAAATAGGAAGAAGAGATGAGCAGTTCAATGAGATTCTGAACTTTGGAGACAGAGAGAGATGGGGATGAAGAATTGTTAGGATCTGGTATTATATGTGCAGATATAGTCTCTCTTGGTTTCTTCCTCAAGAAAATCTTTGGCAAAGCATCCATATTGATGGGGAGAGCATGCCTATGTACATTAGTGGTTACAATTGAAGGCTTTAGGTTAGAACCCATTGATTGGGTTCCAGTCTCAGCTTTGGCACTCATCATGTGACTTTGGGCAACTTCTCAGTGCCCTGATTTGCTTATCTTTTTATTTTTTTAGTACCAGGGATTGAACTCAGTAGCACTAGGCCACTGAGCCACATCCCCAGCCCTTTTTTGTATTTTATTTAGAAACAGGGTCTCACTGAGTTGCTTAGCACCTCACTGTTGCTGAGGCTGGCTTTGAACTCCTGCCTCAGCCTCTGGTTTGCTTATCTTTGAAATGAGTATAATACTAGTGTCTACCTTGTGTAGCTATTTTCAGAAGTCACTGAGATAATAAGATTGGATATGTTTAACACAGTTCCTGGATTAGTGACAGCCTGAGGTTTGTTAGACTTCATTTCTTTTTCAGAGACACAGAAGTTGATTTAGGAAAGCAGAAGCACATTCAAGAAAGAATGTGGGCTATCTGAGCTGAGAAGCTTTGGGCATAAAGCAAGGAATACATTACATTCAAGGGAGGACATTGGCCATCTCCAAAGGCGTAACAGCTGTTAGCTGTCATTTCTATTATTATGATATAGTTTAAAAGATGAGAGATCTATAGGCATTGGCAATAAAAAACGTCCAAGTATATTACCACAGTTCATTAAATGAAGATGCAAGTGACAAACACTGCAGATGTAAGATTCCATTTGTATATATACAAAATGAATGTCTGCAGCATACATGCACAGGAATGCCACTCTCCACGATGATGGGTCTCAGGATGGGAACAAGAAAGTCCAGTTTCATTTGGATTATGTCCATGGTGTAGCTGAGGAAACAGACTTAAAAATTAAGTAACTTGCCTAAGGTCATTCTTGAAATGAACTAAGTTGTGATTGAAGTTCAAGTCTTCTTGACTCCATAGTCTGCGATCAGGCAGGTAAAAGAAGGGAAAGGAGTGAGTGATGTCAGGCACTGAAGGAGAGGAAGGCTGGTTGCATCCTGAGGCCTCTCTGGAGGAAGAGGAGAGCTAGGTAGAACTGGAGCCTGCCAAGGGGCTTAGTGCTGAAATGGTTCTAGGGAGGTTTATTTGGAAGCTGTTGCTAATGGTGCTAATGGCCCCAGTGAACTGTGAGCCTGTGTGGTCAGAAGAAGGTAGGGCATGGAGAAGTGTCTGAAACCAGAGAGGGAGGAGACTGTGCAGGGAGGAAAGGACCCACTCTGGGTGACATTGTAGGTGGTCAGGCAGCAACTGTGTACAGAACAAGTAAGAGAGTGTTTGGAGGCATGGGGACTGGGGAGGGGATGGTGCAAGTGAGCTTGGTTTCATTGAGTTTAATGTAACAAGCTGCAAGGGAAGTCTGGAGCTAGGGCAGATGTTGTAATTGGAAATCACTATAGGATAAGTGTCCCTTATCTGAAATGCTTGAGACCTGAAGTAGTTCAGATTTTGGAGTTTTTGGATTTTGGAATATTTGCATAGACTTCAGTAGTTGAGCATCCTTAATCCAAAAATCTGAAATCCAAAATGCTCCAAAATCTGAAACTTTTTTTTTTTTTAATCAGGGATTGAATCCAGGGACACTTAACCACTGAGCCACATCCCCAGTCCTTTCTATTTTTTATTTTGAGATAGCCTCTTGCTAAGTAGCTTAGGGCCTGGCTAAGTTGATGAGGCAGGCCTGAACTTGTGATCCTCTTGACTCAGTTTACCAAGGTCCTGGGATTACAGATGTGTATCACTGCATCCAGCTAAAATCTGAAATTTTTGAGTGCAATATTTCAGATTTGGGGGCATTTTGGATTAGGGATGCTCAACCTGTAATAAGAATGATAGCTAACATTAACCACTGAATATATGTAGACCCTGTTCTAAATTCTTTACATACAGTATATTGATTTCATCTAAAAACTCTCTGATGTAGACCCATTTTAAATCCCATTTTTGTAGGTGAAGAAACCAAGTTCACATTTACTGAGCATTTACCGGGTACCAAGCAGGATTTGACTGACCTGATTTAATTTATTCTCTAAAGCCATATCATGTGATATGGCTATTATTGTCCTTGTCATAAGCACGAGCAAACTGATGTCCTGAGAAATTAAGAAATTTGCCCATGCTTATGCATGGTCAGTCTAGGGCTCAAAACCTGGGGATCCAACTCTAAAGCTGGTGTCCAATACCCCTTTTCAAAAGTTAGAGCAGGAGGTGGTGAGAAAATAAGAAGGGTTTTTCAGGAAGTGTGTTTGTTCAGTACTGTTACAGAGCCAGGAAAGGGAAAATCCTGAACTTGACCCTGTGCTGTGCCAACTGGGAAGTGCTTGAGAACTCTTAGAAGTGCAGTTTCATAAGAGGTGTGGTTGAGTAAGGTGCCAGTCTGCAGGGATCAGAAAACAGAAGCAGAAGCAGAAGCAGAGAGGCAACCCCAAGTACTGTAAGTTCTCTCCTGCCTTGTGTAACTAGCACCCAATAGGCAGGACTGTGTTCCTTTGTACATTCCTGCTTCTCCCTGGTGATGGTTAGTTTGCTTGACTGAGCTTTTCCTTCTCCTACCAAGAATCCTGTTGCCCTGGGTGATCAGAGGTGGTGCCCCACACAGCCTTTGGAACTAAACAGCCAGAATAATCCTGCCTGGAGTTAGGGAAGGAACTCTATAAATCATGGGTTTTTCCAGGACTCCATACCAACAACTGTTTACAGTTTTCATTACACACAACAAAACATCTTAAGTACTAACAAGACTGTTAGTACTTAAGGCTGAAGATCGCCTTACCTGTCATGAGTACTTCTTAATTGGCACCTACAACTTTTTAAGACCCACTCAGCACACTCAAGTTCCCTTTCTCTAGCATCCAGTCTAGGAAAGATCAAAACAACCATTCGCCCAGGGCGGCACCAATTGGCCATGGTATCCGGTGGTTTTATTGCTCTGTAATAAGGTTACTTATGCTCTTTAAGTTCCTTAATCACCATGTACATGGATTCTCATCTGCCTTTTTCTTTATGCTACCACCAGTGGTTGCCTTAAGATATTAGGCAGTATGCACATTCAGACTTCTGAGAGCTATAAGGCAACTGTTGACACTGTTTACCTCCAGGGACTTGTTATTGGACTTCTGTCTGCCTAAGCAACAGTAACATGGCCTTGGGAACATCTTATTTTAGTTGGAAGGCAGCCTTGGTGGAGGCCTCAGAGGTCCTCGCCTAGGACATTGGCCCACAAATATTTCATTCTTACTGCAGAAAATAATCCCAGACTCTTTGCTCGTAGACTTTCTGGCATTTTACTGTGGAACTATTAATGGCAGCTAGACCAAGTGGCACACGTAACCTCAGTTTCACACGTGGAGCAATTTTGTAGAACAAGTCCCCCATCTGTTTGGAGTATGGTATGGTGGGCAAACTGAAGCAGAGGTTTTTGACAAGTCCAGGTGCCTGGTTATGACAGAGCTGACACCTACCCAGGCTTCCTGACTCACTACAGTCAGTACCTTTTCTGCCACAACGAACTGCTCCTGGTGGCTGGTGTACTACCAGAGTCGTAGGGCGTTCATTTCCTTGGTCATAAACCCCACGTCCACGGATGACAGCAAGTCAGAAATGGTCAGAGAGCTTACTCTGAGCCAGAATTCCGGCCACAAACGAAATTGGCCTTGTGGCTGGAAGCGGATAACGTGAGGAACTGTTCCACACCATTCCCAGATCTGCCCAAGACGTGCAGCTACGAGGTAATGAGCATTTGGGTTGCGAAGCATCGGCTTTAGGTGTTTCTGTGGCCTCCTTTTCCCGCCGTTTTCCAAAATGCAATGTTTCGAGTGCTCTCTTGCAAAGAGCAGTCTACAGATGAGGTCGCGCTGAAACTTAAACGGAGCGAGTACCTCCGACGCCGGCGGAGCCCTCAGGGTGGAAGCCGAAGCTCTGCCCGCTTACGCGGTGCTGGGGGCACCTGGAAAAGCCTGGAAGCAGCCGCACTTCCCGCCCCGCCCACTGGCGCCCCAGCGCCAGGCCCGGAGCAGTGGAGAAGGCGGCCTCCCGCCGCCTAGAGGTGCCAAGTCCGGGCGTCCGCTCTGCCCGTGCCACGTCTCTATGGCGACCCTAACGGCCGACTGGGTCGCCGAGCGAGATGAGCGCGGGCGCTGACGGCGGTGGCGCTGCGGCGGCGCGGTCCCGAGAGGGTAGTTCCGCGAAGGATGGCTTCGTCCCGTCGGCACTGGGGACCCGAGAGCAGTGAGTATGGCGCGGGATAGGGAGGGCGAACTGCGGTGGCCGGCCTGGGCCCGGGCGGGGGTCGGCGGGGCGGGGCCCGGGGGTGGGGGCGTGACGGCGAGGCCCAGGGCGGTGAGGGGCTTGCCGGGGGCCGTTAGCCTGTCTTTACCCGCGTGGAGCAAGAGGGGCTTGGGTGCGGGACGGGCTCTGAAAGCTTTTGGGGAGGCCATTTAGGGATCCTGGGGTGAGGAGGCGGCGAGTGAGGGGCCGAGGGACCACCTCGGGACCTGGGGTTGAGACGGTCGGGACCCTAGGCGCCGGCGAGGATAGGCGAAGGAGACCCGCCGAGCGAGCGAGGGAGGAGGCGGGGGTGAGAGGCGGCGGCTTGCCGTCGGAGAAAGTGACCTGCCGCGTCCGCCATCCCAGCGGAGGCTGAGGCAGGAGCATCGCGAGTTGGAGGCCAGCCTGGGCAACTTAAGGAGAATGAAAAGGCCTGAGGCTGTGGCTTGGTGGTAAAGCTATCCTGGATTCCATCCTCAGTACTGCAAAAAACAAAACAGACGTTCAGTAATTGTTCAGTGAATTATTAGACGAATGAAAATGTGGAAAAAAGTTAGGATGAGAAATAATTTGGAGAGGTAAGAGGGAGTAGGGATTCTTGAGATGTATAGGAAAATGATAGGGGTGTATATGTAAAATGATTGAGAGAAGACTTAAGCGGAGTACTAAATTTTCACAGGGCGAAGTGGAGACATCCCAGGAAAGAGACTGGTTTAGGGAGGGAAAGGGAGAGAGAAGGGAAATTGCAGGGAAATGGAAGGAGACCCTCATTGTTACACAAAATTACATATAAGAGGTTGTGAGGGGAAGGGGGAAAAAAAAACAAGGGAGAGAATTGAATTACAGCAGATGGGGTAGAGAGAGAAGATGGGAGGGGAGGGGAGGGGGGATAGTAGGGGATAGGAAAGGTAGCAGAATACAACAGTCACTAATATGGCATTATGTAAAAACGTGGATGTGTAACCCATGTGATTCTGCAATCCGTATTTGGGGTAAAAATGGGAGTTCATAACCCACTTGAATCAAATGTATGAAAGATGATATGTCAAGAGCTTTGTAATGTTTTAAACAACCAATAAAAAAAGAGAAAGAGACTGGTTTAGAACTTTAATCTTAATCTTTAAGCAGATTTTATCAGATGGGTTTCTTTGTGAGCAACTGCTGTACTGGTAGAAAATCCTATATCTGCACATCGAAAACCAAATATGCTGTAATGACCCTATGCTTGTACTGTCAAATTTTGGACATGGGTCTGGGACTTAAGAGATCCCTGGGCAGTGTTCTCTGTAACTTTTTAAGCTAAAATTAATAATATTTATTTTGCATGGATATTTAAAGTTCTTCATATGTAAACTTACTTTGCTGCCCACACTTTCCATTCTTTTGACTCAAGTATATTATGAAATTGAATTAACGTGCATTCGGTAACACTAATAAATTTTTTTTAATCCAAAATATGTTTATTGGGATGTTTTCCCATTCATCTTGATTCAGGCTGCTTTTAGTGCAGCTTCCTCCTGAAGGAACATCCTTCTGTAAGTCTTGCTTTTCCTCCCGTAGGCTGGCAGAGGACAGTGGAGCAGCCAACACACAAAACTACTGTTTGTGCATGGATAAAAACTGGTGATTTTATAGCATCCTGGGCATTTCATATCCATGAAATAGGAGTTGGGGCTCTGCACCAGGCGCTGCTTCTTGTGTTTCCCCTTCTCCTCTTCCAGAGAGGGATGAAGGAGATCCTTTGCGAGAGGCATATTCTCGTGGGGAGGTCGTCACTGCTGGAAAGACCAATAATGTTTTGAACCTGTCATAAGTAGCACTATATTGTATTGAAAACATATATTTGCTTCGCAGTTTATTACAGTTTAATTCTAGAATCTTGCTTTGCATTTCATTTTTTACATAGTTGGGATGCTGTCTATGAGAGAGAACTGCAAACTTTTCAAGAATATGGAGATACAGGAGAAATCTGGTGAGTTAGGAAAGAATCAATTATGATCCAAAATACTATATGTCTGTGTGTGTTTACACTTATGTCAAAGAAAACCAAGGCTAAAAATCTTGGGAATTCTGGGTTGAATCTGGTTTAAGTGGGTGGATTTAAAGTATCTCTTTCCTTTTTTAATGACCCAGTTTTTTTTTTTGTTGTTGTTGTTGTTTTTTTCCATAATGACCCAGTTTTAAGTTGATAAGAGTATTAGGAAATTATTTTCATTCTATAGGTACTATTTTGCAATTTGCAATAAAATTTTAAGCCATCAACATATACTGATGTCTGAGATAGCAGTTTTGGGGACATTTCCACATTTTAATGCTGATATAGAGAAATATTAATAAATAATACATTAATCTAGTCTGTTCTCTTTTGAGTTTTTGAAGGTGTTTTCTCCTAAATAACAATAGAGACAAGTTTAGGTAGTCACAAATACTCTACTCACTTTCAAAAAAGACTTAATTTGGGGTATGATATACAGTTTAAATAAATTGAAGTTGTAACTTTTGCTCTGTATCTGTTATTTATAACTTATTCTGTTTCTAACAGGTTTGGGGAAGAGAGTATGAATCGACTAATAAAGTGGATGCAGAAACACAAGATTCCACTGGATGCTTCAGTGCTTGATATTGGAACTGGAAATGGTGTTTTCCTGGTTGAACTTGTTGGTACTTTTAGTGTTCATGTGTTTAAACACAGTTTTAAATGAAATTATTAAGTCTTAAAATTGAGGATATTAATCATCTATAAAGTAATGAAGCAGTCATACCATCTTCTCTGAGAAGTCACATGATACAAAAGTGATACTGCATGGATTGTAAGAAAGCACTAAATGAATAGTGCCCCAGAATCCCAAATGCTATGATCCTGGATGTTGAAATCCCCAAAGATCAAAACCTCTAAAGTCTAAAATCCTGAGAATTACAATACTGAAAGATTAAATTCTGAATTTTTAGATCCTGGAAGCCAAAAATCCTGAAAAACGGCAAATTCTATTTTTTTAAAAAAGACTATGTAAGTGGGTAGGAAGTTGAATTCTGAGGAAGGGATTAATATATTTTCAGTTATATCCATGATAGTTGTATTGTGCTAGGTAAAATGAATACTGAGAAACTTGGCTAAGCATTATTTTTGGTGTATAACCTCCTCTGGAAAGTGAGATTGCTTTCCAGAGGAGGTTAATACCTGAGTCTGGCTGAATCTGAGTAGGTGGGGAAGGTGCCCCTCAATGTGGGTGCGCACCATCCAGTAGGCTGGAGGCCTTGAGAGAAGAAACAGAAAACTGAAAGCTAGAGTTTTTTCTGCTGTTTTAGACATGAGAACTTCTGACCTTTGGACCTCAGGACTTAACATCAGTTGCTTCTGGGCCATCAGGCTTTTGGCCTTGGAGTAAAAGTTAACACCATTGGCTTCCCTGGTTCTGAGACCTTTGAGCTTGGACTAAGCCATGCTACTGACTTTCCAGCTTGCAGACAGCCTGTCATGGGACTTTTTAGCTACCATAATTGTGTGGGCCAATTCTCCCAATTAATCCCTTCTTATATATTTATGTATATATCTTATTATCTCACTAGAGCACCCTAATTAGAGATTTGGTATTGGGGAAGCTAAATATTCCTTATTACACATGGAAGAAATCTGTGAAATTGTTTCCTCATGAAAAGGCAGTGATAACTTAAGTATACTAGTCTACTTAACAGTAGAAGCTAAAAGCTAGTTATAATTGGTTCTGTGAAAACAGAAAATTACTTAATTGAATGACCAAGCAATAACTGAACTTTCAAATAGACAACATGTACTTAAGTTTGTAGATTAAAAACTACTTTCCAGCCAGGTGTGGTGGTGTACACTTGTAATCCCAGCAGCTGAAGCCTGAGGCAGGAGGATCGTGAATTCAAAGCCAGCCTCAGCAACTTAGCGAGGTGCTAAGCAACTCAGTGAGACCCTGACTCTAAATAAGATATTAAAAAGGACTGAGAATGTGGCTCAGTGGTTAAGTGCCCCTGGGTTCAATCCCTCGTACCAAAGATCATCAACAACAAAAATAACAAAAAAATAAACCCCCATTGTTCATAAAAATGCAGTGAGTGTCTGAATTATAACAGAAGGAGTGAAAATGCAGGTGAAAAATACAAGAAATCTCCCCTGTCAAATCAGTTCTTCACTGCTCTTGCCCCTCCATACAGCACCATGCTCATTTTCCCAAAAAATGCCCTTTGTCAGAGAATACAAAGGATTTGACAAGCTCAGGGATATTCTGAATCAAAGGTTCCTCCAGTGTCACAAAACACATTAAATGGTGAACTCTTCTTGCATAGAAGTTTGACTGTTGAAGAAGATAGACTTATATTTAACATAGACAAATGAGTATATGCCTTATTTTGGTTAATGGAAAATACTTTCAAAATTATCTCACTTTAAAAAATTTTTTTTTATCACCTACAATAAAGTTCATGTCCTTGTTGGATCTGAAACTTCAAGGACTTATTTGCTCCTTTCTGTATTAGTGACTAGAAAATATGAATTATTTATAAAAGGCTTATTTGATGATTTGATGGACTTTGCAGAAGAAGTGAATTTCTTATGCCATACCATAAAGACAGATTTGGAATTACGTGTGATCAAGACTTCTAAAAATGAATGTCAAGGTATTACCAACAAAGATTGTTTTTTCCATTTAGCCCAGTGCATGGGACAGAAATTTCAGGTGAATGTATTATCCATGATGTGATTCAGCAAGGATAAAAAGTTTAAAAATGTGTCATCTGTCTGCATTGGCATTCCTGATTCAAGGAGCTTTTAATGAATTAAATCCATATTTGCTTGAGGAGGGAGGCCAGTGATATCACTGACTGGTTTGAAAATAATTATGTGCTTGGTAGGATAAGATAGGCAATGATGGCCAGCCGCAGTGGCCCACAGTGGCTTGGGAAGCTGAGGTAGGACGCAAGTTTGAGGCAAACCCCCATAACTTAGTGAGACCTTGTCTCAAAATAGAACTTAAAAAGGTTTGGAGGATGTACCTCAATGGTAGAACACACTTAGAAACACTCCAGTTGTTTCTGCTGAACTTGTTCTCTGTATATTGAATAAGTGTAGAAGAGTTTTCTGTGTAACCAAAACAACATAGCATGGTGCAGAAAATGGAAAATTTTAATAGAGAATGATCATGTTGCTCTATATTGAATCATAGAAGAATTTCAAAATGAGCAGTATGACAGAAAAGGAATATGCATGCATTCTCCACCGAGAGCAATACTTAAGAAAAAACAGCTATTTATCTCAGTGCAAGACTTAAAAATATAGTTAATGATCTTGAGAGTTGATCAGCACTTATGGACTACATCTGTTCAGTTGCCCATACTCTATTCCCATAACACATTTTTCTTATATTGAATTTTCAGATTATTTTCCTGCTTTTTTTTGTCAACATTTTTTTATAATTGGTTATGCTTTGTATTTTGTCTTCACATCATTTTCAATAACAGAGGTATAGGGGCTGGGAGTGTGGCTCAGCGGTAGAGCGCTCGCCTAGCATGTGCAAGGCCCTGGGTTCGATCCTCAGCACCACATAAAAATAAAATAAAGATATTGTGTCCAATTACAACTAAAAATTAAATATTAAAAAAAAAAAAAAATAACAGAGGTATAAATTTTGTAAAGACTTTGAGAATTCTAATTTGTTTATGCATTTTTTTACAAATTAAATCCTGCAAATGTGCATTAGCAACAATGTTGAATTAGTATGTGGGCATTATACTTGTACATAAAAATATTGAAAATTCCTCAGTAAATGAAGAGATGTCTTTTTTGTACATCTGCATTTTTGAAAGATAAAATTTCACCACCTCTGTTCTTCAAGCAAATGCATGTGTGATACTAACACATTGTGGTTTTTGATGTCACCTAAAAAAATATAGGTTGTCTTTCACAATATTTCAGATGATTGCAATTATAAAACTGGGTTTACACAATTTCTAGTCATAGTGATTTATGTTTATGTATTTCACTTTTTGACTTTTTTTTTTTTTTTAATTTTTAAGGTTATCCCCCCTACCCCACCCCCAGTACTAAGAATTGAAACCAGAGGTGCTCTACCACTGAGTTACATCTCCTGTCCTTTTTATGTTTTATTTTGAGACAGGGTCATGGAGGCTGACCAATACTCCTGCTTCAGCCTCTTGAGTAGCTGGGATTATAGGTGTGCACCATTATAACTAGTTTGATATATTTTTTTTTACAAATATTGTTCATAAATATTATACTTTTGCAAAGTGTTCAGTGTTAATGCTTGCAAAACATATGTTATTGTCTTATTATTTAAAGTGGCCTATGAAGCATTGTCATGTTTTATGTTTCTCAGATCTCTTTTTAAAAATGTAAAATGCATTTTTTTTTTTTTTTTGGTACTAGGGGACTGAACCCCAGGGATGCTTAACCACTGAGCCACGTTCTCAGGCTTTTTTATTTTTATTTTGAGACAGGGTGTGGCTAAGTTGCTTAAAGTCTCGCTGAATTGTTGAGGTTGGCTTTGAACTCTCGATCCTGCTGCTTCAGCTTCCTGAGTGGCTGGGATTATAGGCAGACACCACTGTGCCTGGCATGTAAAATATCTTTATTGGAAAGATTATTTTTTTTAGCCAGGTGCAGTGGTGCATGCTTGTAATCCCAGCTGCTTGAGAGGCTGAGACTGGAGGATTGCGAGTTCAAAGCCAGCCTCAGCAAAAAGAGAGGTGCTAAACAACTCAGCGTAGACCCTGTCTCTAAGTAAAATACAAAAAAACAGGGCTGGGGATGTGGCTCAGTGGTCGAGTGCCCCTGAGTTAATCCCCGGTATCCTGCCCCCGCGAGAAAAAGATTATTTTTTTCAGATTTATATTTTCTTTTTTTTTTTGTAGAGAGAGAGAGAATGAGAATGAGAATTTTTTTTTTTTTTTTTTTAGTGTTTTTTTTGGCGGACACAACATCTTTGTTTGTATATGGTGCTGAGGATTGAACCCGGGCCGCACACATGCCAGGCGAGCGCGCTACCGCTTGAGCCACATCCCCAGCCCCACATTTATATTTTCAAGAGTTTGATCTTTCAAGATTTTATACTTTAGGGATTTTGATCTTTTGTTCAGCATTCTGGATTATAATGTTTGGGATTGTGTCCTCTGGGATTTAAATCCCAGTGCCTTAATGAGAAGCCAGGGGATCTGAATCAGTCTTGGTTCTTGCTATAGCCTTGACCTTGAGCAAGCACCTTAATTTCTCTGGGTTTGGATTTTGACTAAGTGATTTCTATTGGTTTCTTCTAGCTCAAAACACCAGGAAGATGACCATTTGCAATTCCAATAGGCATATGTACTTATCTTAGGTGAGCGTATGATTTGTAAAGAGCATTTTGTCCATGGAACTGAATTTCAATACAAGTTCACTACTGGCTATAGCATCACTATAGTGTGCCTATAATGTGCTCATTGCTATGGAGAATGTATAAGATTTAGACTTCATCCTAAATGGTTGGACAGCCTGATTTGTAGACACATGTATGAATGAGTGAAATTTATTGAGTAACAAGCATGTGCTAAGCCTTATGCTAGGTACTGGAAACATCAAAATTTAGATTTTGTGCTTGAATTATTCCTGGTTTCATAGAGATGGTTTGAAATGCAGATAGTT